TTTAAAGAACTGTGAATTATCAAATATAATTCCCTTCCATAACAATTAAAAATATTCCCTAGGCCTATAGATATGTTGCTAACCCCTCACTGAAAGACATCAGCTAAGCTTTCAGGCTTGCCTGGAGTGTAAGCCCATCGTCATTTTAAGATCCTCAATTACCACACTAAAACAACAGAGTATCTTTAATCAACAAGAAAGTGAATTTCCCTTTTAATACATACTATAGTTTAATTCCTGAACTTATTTTTCCCATCATGAGCTTCTTGGCCATGAAACTGAGATTAATTGACATAACTGATATGTGAACAACTACACTTCCTGGATGTCTGGTGAAACTATAAAAATGTGATCAAAACTTACAGTCGTAAGTCCAGAGACTCCCAACTGAAACGATGTAGCACTGCTGTGAAGATATATAGCTTTCAATTCCTATAGCTGGCAGATTTGCAAAGCCAATTAAAGCAGTGGGTGGAGCTACAAATCTAAGTCACTGGGTTAGTAAAATAGGAACACATTTATGGATGGCATTTTGCTGGAAATCCTGTCAAGTCCTGCCAACTCATTTTCTTGCTTAAATATACCTATAGGAAGCTTGTGCTTAAATCAACTATTCCGGTTGTGCACTTCTCTTCTTTCTCTGAAAACCTCAAGGGAGTTGATTGGCTTGCAGTACTATTCATTATTTAAATTGTATACTATTCGGTCTTGATCAATATTTATTCTGCTGCTTACTTGGCCAGAAGGGGAAGTATAACACAGCTTATTATAAGATGTATTTTGTACAAGTTACAGATAAGCTATTAACTCAGTTTGTAGCCAGTTGATATGCCTTCACATTACAGTATTGTTCATTTTTACAAACTTCCTGGCTAGTTATCACATCCTTCACTTTTTAAAAATAAAAATATATAATTCTGTAAAATAAAAAGTAGTGGTGAGTGGTTAAGGTCATAACAATTATGGACAAAGGAAAGATTAGCTTAATCTCTGCTGGCAGGAATAGCTAACACCCAAGAAGATAGGCTCAAAATCCAGATGGATCTTGACAGACTAGAACACTGAGCCATATCTAATAAAATGAAATTCAATGTAGAGAAAAGTAAAGTCCTACACTTAGGCAAGAAAAACCAAAAGTACACATATAGACTGGGTGAAACCAGGCTCAATAGCAGTAACTTTGAGAGGGATCTTGGGGTCTTAGTGAACAACCAGCTAAATATGAGCCAGCAGTGTGCAGCAGCAGCCAAAAAAGCTAATGCAATCCTAAGTTGTATTAACAGAGGATACAATCAAGATCAAGTGAGGTACTAATACCACTCTATGAGGCTTTAGTAAGACCGCACCTAGAGTACTGCATCCAGTTTTGGTCACACATTATAAAAAAAAAATGTTGAGACTCTGGAGAGGGTGCAGAGAAGAGCAACCAGGATGATTAAGGGATTGGAGACTAAAACATATGAAGTACGGTTACAGGAACTGGGCATGGCTAGTCTAGTAAAGAGAAGGACCAGGGAGACATGATAGCAGTCTTCCAATATTTGAGGGGATGCCACAGGGAGGAAGGGGTCAAGCTATTTTCTAAAGCGCCTGTAGGCCAGACAAGGAATAATGGATGGAAACTGAACAAGGACAGATTTAACCTGGAAATAAGTTGAAACTTTCTGACAGTGAGAACAATCAACCAATGGAACAGCTTGCCCTTGGAAGTTGTGGGAGCGCCATCACTTGAGACTTTCAAGAAGAGATTGGACTGCCATTTGTCAGAAATGGTGTAGGGTCTCCTGCTTGGGTGGGGGGATTGGACTAGATGACCTACAAGGTCCCTTCCAACTCTGATTATCTGTTATCTTCCCATACTATTTCTGTCCTCCATTTCCATATACCAACAGGGGTGAATAAGTGATGGGAGCCATAGAATAGCTGTGTTATTTTGTCTTCTACAACAACCTGATGATGAAATCACCAGATGGGAGAGTTTACCAGTACTTAATCCAGACACCTGGTTCGGCGCAACATGCCAATCCAGGTTAGCTAAGTAAACCAAGAAACTGTAATTTAAAATGGACAAAACAAGTTTTCCAATAATATGTCAATCTTTAAATGGTCTTTCTGTACAGTGTATAGATTGTTGGAGCTTACTGAAATTACCATTTGACTCCGTCAAAGATTATAGCCCAAATAGTTCTGATCTCATCTACAAGCAACTAAGGATTTTAATAAAGTTTGATTATTCTTACCAAGGATCCTGAACGTTCTGGTATACAAACAAACCCTGATTTTTGTCCTATGTTTGCAGAAACCTCAGTCTGGTGGTTCTGGTGCATATAATTGGAGAATGTAAATATATCTTTTCAAAAAAAAAAATGACAATTTAAACTGATATAGCTTTAATAAAAGCAATTGTTGCGAATACCGAGACCACTAATCCCATACATCACTCATGCTTACATCTGAATCTAGAACTGGCAGCCAAAGACCACAGAAGATGGATTTGTAATAGTATTTCCTGGTTGTTATATCTTATTATTTCTCTTTTTGAAGGAATGTTATTAAGGCAAGAAGCAGCATGATCATCAGGAGGATGCATTAGCAAATGTCCCACACACTAACATTCTTGTTCAATACCATGATGGGTTTCAAAGACCAGTCATTGTGCAGGGTGCCAAGATGTCTGACTGACTGGGCAGCGTTTATGCTTTATGTTATAATCAAAGTATGTTAAATTTATTCAGTATTTTGAATATTTTTAAAACCTTAATTCACAAGGGTATAAAATCTTGTCTTAAAAGACTTGAGTTTACTGCTATATGTCTACATTATACAAAAATGTTGATACGCATGGTTGAGCTTTATATTTCCAGTATGTTGGACAGCTGAGAAGCATAATACATGACATCTAATGCTCCCCACCCCTTATTTCTTGCAAAAATGCAAAAACATTGAAAGGCTCACCTCTCTAGTAATAAGATCTGCTTCAATTTACCCTATTTTACAATAATTTTACAGTATGGTTTCTGCAATGGTTAAACATGGTCTTGCAATTCTACAGCTAGCTAGCAATAGATGTTAGAAACAAAAAGTGGCACAAGATTTCCCATTCAAGGATTAAACAGATATCTCTTCAGAAAGATGAAACAATTGAAGGTTAAGAGCTCTTGATATGCAAGTTATATAAATCAAGAGGAATTCACCAGCATCCCACCCATCCCCAAAATAAATTAACTAAATGTGCTTTTAAATTTCAGCTGAGTCAGTACTGTGACATCACAAAACTTAGAGGAAGCTAGGCAATATTAAGGAGCCTGGTCAGAATATGCAAAGTTCCTCCTATGTCTCCACCTTTTCTTTTTTTCAATTCCAAGCATAGCCACACCCATGAATTTGCAGACAAATCAGTATTTACAGATTTCTATAGGAGTTTTGTTCTGGCCACAGTAGATTCTACCTTGTTCAGTTATGATTGAAACAAAAATCACAGTACAAGTTAAATAAAGCAAATGGGCGCAGTGGAAATCAGAGAAACGTGTCTCTGGTTTTGTTATTTCTTTACAAATACACACACTGAAAAGATCGTACATAAAGTGTACACAGCTAGAAATATCAAATGCACTGATTTCTCAGAATAAAAAAAATCCTTTCTGTCCTTATAACACAGCACATAAGACAGATCTTATGTCCCAGTTCCAAAGAAAGATTTTGCATCTGGGCTTCTTTACATCACAATCCTATGCATCTATATTTAAAAGGATTTCTGATTGGGTGCAAGGAAAGTGTGCAAAAGGCTTCTGTTGAAAAATACATTAAAATTATAATATTTTTATATCCAGATAATAAAAACTGTTTATAAATACTATAAGCATTTCCAGGAATAAGTTCCTTATTCAATAATACCTAACACTTCATTAAAACAAGTATCTGCAAGGCTTAAACTGACTAAAATCACTGCGCCAGCTTCTTTACTTAGCTCAAAAAGGGAAACATACTGCTATTATTACTTCCTATCAGTGCAAAATTTTACCTCCCAAATTCTTCACAAAAAAGATTTTCTTCTTAGAGAAAAAAAAAAAGACAGCCTGGTAAAGCTCCAAAGTGATTGTGATTCCCCCCCCCCCCTTCTCTATTCTCCCTCCCACCTCCCCAAAGGGATTCACTGCAGCTTTAAGTATCTTGGTGCATCAATCCCCGAGTTTTTTCCATCAACCCTGTAAAAACACTGGTCCCAAGAAGGGTGGAATGGACGCAAAATCTCACCCCACCTCTAGGGAAGGTAGGTTCCCAGGCCAGGCCAGCCTTCCTCGCATTCACAAAAGAGAGCTGTGGTGTTAACCCAAATATTGACTTCAAGGCTCTCTCAAGCTTAGCTCTTCTTCGCCTCCCTCAAAAGATCAAGCAAATGCAAAATTAAAGGGAAGGCAGAGCGAAGTTCTTAGGCACAGCAGGTGCATATTGCAGGGAAAGGTGGAGGGGGGCAAAGGGGGGGGGCGGGAGGGGATACATGAATGTAACTACCAGCCCAGGGAGAGGGAGATGCGAAAGAGGCGGAGAATTGGCCTTATCTGGAAGCATTCGCTGGCTGAAAAGAGGTTGATCCAATCTCCTGTCCCGACCCAGATGCTCACTCACCTCTGGCGGACATGGCTCAGGTGGACCGAGAGAGAGGCGGTGGCGAGGGCAAGAACCGAAGCCCCCTCCCCGACATTAACCGGCCGCAGCCGAGAAGCATTTCCCCATGTGCCGCCGGGACTGCGAGCGAGAGGGCGGGGTACCTGTCTGCGTCTCAAAGCGAGGGAGCGCCACGGACTAGCACAACAGCCGACCGCTGCAGCCACTGCGAGCAGCGACCGGCTGGGCCTGGGCGGGGCCATTTGCCGCTTCCCCAGGCGCTGCAGCACCACTCGGTTCTGGCTGAAAAAAACTGCCTTTGCCGGTCCACCGATTCGTGGCTGGGGCCTCCTGCGGAAGAGCGGGGAGGCGATTTGCCTGTTCGTTCCTTCATGCAATATGAGCATTCCGGAATGAATTCTGGCTTAACAGCCGGAGAAAGAAGCCAAGTCTGATTTTTAAAAAAAAAAAAATCTGAGGGCAATTCAGGACATTTATGCCGCTTGCATCGAGCAAGCAACAGGTACTACAGTCATCCGCGGTGTTTTTGAAAGGGGAGGGGGCGCTTCCAGGTGCACACAATGAAGGAACCTCCGCCAGTATAAACTGTTTTCGAAATGATGGGTACGGCAGTTTGATCAGGGTTTGGCATTCAAAGTAGTTTCAACCAGTTAAAATATAATAGCAAGCCATATTCTACATATACAGGTTTCCCCACACAAATGGCATGGTATTGTTTTCAATGAACAAAGAATAATGGAGGAAAGAAACTTACATTAAGGTAACCTGAAATGAGAAAAGTGGGGAAATGTTCAAATAATTATTTTGCATTCTGGGCCTTTCAGAGCCTTTACAAAATCCGTTGTCCCCCTCTCTGTCATGGATGTTTTACAGTTTGGGACATGACCTCCAGTATGTGGCAATTCATCAGTTAAAGCACAACCAGCGAATGACACCTCCTGTGATGAAACTTCGCTGATGGGCTGCATTTTTCAAGATGGAATGTCATCTTGGGCTACTATTGCACAGGTCTGCACAAATAGCAAAATTTTAATCCCTCAAGAGCTTCCAGGTGGATATATTTTCTCAAGATAAATTCATGGCCAGAATACCATTGTAGAATTGATAACAGTAATGTCAGGTGGTGTGTGATGCACTAGTTAGGGTATTAAGTAAGACCCAGGTCAAGGTCTTTTAGGCCACTGGTGACCTTACTGTAGAGGCCAATCACTTTCTCTCAACATAGTCAATTTCACAGATGAATGCTATTCCCATAGGTGAAGGCAGAAATATTATGTATGCCATCTTGAATTGATAGAGAAAAAGTGGAACATACATCCAACAAATGTTGCAATTAGAAATTCATATTTTATTGGCTACTACATTAACAGAAGGGCCTAATCAAACTGCATGACACATTTTGCAAATATGCACACATACACACATACACATACATGCATTGTGGCACATATATAAAGTCCACAGTGAATATTATTTTGGTTAAACAGTTGGTCCCATTGTTAAGTGATGTATGGTTGTCATATCAGCAAATGAAACAAATTGCAAATAAACCAGGTTCAGCCAGTACACAGGCAATATCACAGTCTTTTCTATTTTCCAAGTTGGCATTAGACAATTCCTTTGGGCTCTTTCATCATACGATAGAAAAGATAATCTTATCAATTATTTTAAAAAACACAAAAACTTAAAATTATGTTTTCAAGAGTTTCCTTTATACATTATCAGAATTAACATCACTGAACAAAACAGGTCATTCAAATATGTAGAAATTCTAGTCCAAGCCTTGACAACTGGTTCAAAACAATACCTTAAGGTTCAAGGTACATGTAGTCCTCATCTTACAATAGTTCACAGTTAACAATCTTTGTAGTGTCCCCATGATAATGTGATCAAAATCTAGATGCTTGGCAGTTGGTTCATAATTAAGACAGTTGCTGTGTCCCAAAGTCATGTGATTACCTTTTGCAACATTTTGGCAGGCAAAGTAAATGGGGAAGCCAGTTTCACTTAACCAGGTTACTAACTGCAGTGATGAAGTTACCAACTGTGGCAAGACCAGTTGTAAAATGGGGCAAATCTCATTAACAAATGTCTCACTTAACGAGAAATTTTGGGCTCATTTGTGGTCATAAGTCAAGGACTACCAAAAGCACACCCTTTTACCTGCAATGGTAATAGGTATATCATATATACAATCAAAAACTTCAGAGCAACTAAAGTAGTTGCTTTACAGTACATTATCTGCTCTATGGCACACTATGTAGATTTTTCATAATGATTAAATCAATATTTCTGAGGGCACCATTCTGTCTGCTTAGATGTGCAGCCAAATTTAATAAGTCTAAAAACTATCCCAATTTATTAAAAGCCTGGATTGGACTGTGCCATTTGAGATACTGGCTCAAATTAGTATTTGAAAAATCCATTATGGTATTGACTTTGCAAGTGTTGGCTTTCTCCCTCATGGCTATAGATTAACTCAATATTTTGTTACAACTGGCAAAGACAAAGTTCTGTTGGAAATAAATTAAGAGGACTGAAATCTTCTCCAGAAATTCTTGGTTTATGCCACTCTTAGCATAAAATACATTACCATTATCTCATGCTAAAGAAACAGAAAAACTTTTATGTTAGTTAAATTCAACGTCTTACCTTCAGCCCTTCTGTAAAGGAAATTCAGCAGCAGATATATTCTCAGAGATATCCCAGGAGAGTTTTTAAGAAGTCATAATGGACGTCACAACTGCATGATCAACCTGTCTTTTTGTACACATGTGCAATTTTGATGCCCATGCAAAAGTGGAGGATTTTGCTTGCATGGCCAATTTGACTATTTGGGCTTTCTTTCCCTGCAGAATATTGGGAGAACCAGTTTGGTGTAATGGTCAATGTACCAAATTAGAAACTGGAAAACTATGACATACAAATTTTGAATATTGAGACTTTTACTTAAATTTTAAAATAATTAGACAAAATATACAACTTTTCGTGGGAACCAAATTGGGTTTTTTTTTTGTTATGTCATTGGTTTTATATTCTGTATGGCACCTTGAGTCACCACGGATGAATAGGCAGCAATATAAATGCAATAAATAAATAAATAAATACATAAAATAAACTGTTTGCTTTGCATTCTTTTTGCTTCGTATGAGGGCAAAGCTGAATTTCTAGACAAGTAACACTGGCAAGACCTACATTCTTCACAATAGCATCTGCCCTGTGTTCAAAGGAAGCTTTGAAATATATATCAGAAATGCATGTCCAGTTCTGCTGTACTCAAGGATAAAGATAACAGCCATTCGAGTTTTCCCATGTTTATATAAGAGTCATGCTGTTAGAGTAACATCAAGGAGTAATTTACTGAGCAGCTCTGGCTTTGATAAGCTATTGCCAATGTGTTGCAATTTCTCTGCAGTTTCTTCTAAAGATAACATCTAGTTCAGTATTTTTTAGACTTCGCTGTGATGGAGACGGTCTAAAGAAAGCCCCAAAATTGGAGAGTTTGAAATAAAACTGGCTTAAACTGCCAAAGGATAACAGGGTGATAAGAGGGTGAGGCCAGGAAGTTCACATATCTTAAAATTGCGTAGTTTTAAAAACACTGATCTAGTTCTTTATATTGATGATTGTAAAATAAATATTCAATTAGACAATAGTACTTAGAATATCATATAATGTGAAGATCTGTGTTGGCTTCACCCATAGGTTCTTGGCATTGCCCAGTGATTACTATATTACTTGACTATTTTGAATAAACCAGTTTTATTGAAAATTGCTTATGCCAATGATCTGGCAATAAGCAGTGCAGAGTGTAACTTTCAAAGCTGTCAAGGAAAAGACCAAGGGTCTGAATCTAATGACTACATACTACAGCGATAACCAGATGAAACCAAACCAGCTGAAAATACAACTCTGGGCTTTCCATTTGGGGAAAAAAAGAGAGACATCAAGAACACTGCAGGTATGATAGAATGGTATCAGCCTAGAACATTTCACTACCCTAAAGTTAGAGTAACTCTGAATTGCACACTTACCTTTAAGAATCATTATTTTAATACCAAACATAAAATATCAGCTAGGAACAACATTCTGAGAAAAAATAAAGATGGCTGCCCAATCACACTTCCACAAAATTTTCACATTAGATCTATGTTACTCTGTTGTAGAATATGCTAGTTTTCTTTGCTTCAGATCGAAACCTCCAAAATAGGTGGATGTGGCCCTAAAGGAAACAATGAGACTGACTGATCATAAAGGTGTCTAAAACTAACCTAAATACAAAAGACGCATTATCTAACTGGTATCCCCTTCCAAAGTTCTTCTGGGAAATTGCTGCACAGAAAGAGTGAGTTAAAGCGATAACTGCAGAAACATATTATTTTGCCATCAACTTCCAAAGTTAAGACTGAGTCGAGAAATAACTTCCTCAAAACTTCCCTCCCTCCCATCAAGCAACAGCTACAGGCAGCCCTGGAACTATGGAAAATTAGTAAGGAGCTACAGGACAACTTGGCACAACCACACAACTGCCATCTGGTTAAAAATAACTTTGACCTATGTGGAAATTGCAAAACAGATTGCGCCAGGTAGAAAGATCAAATACAATCTAAGAAAATGTGTCTTCCCTATAGAACATGTGAATGTTGAAAAGAACAATTCATCTCACACATGCTATGGTGTATATAGTACAATGTCCTTCAACATATATAGAGGAAGATCTCATGTTGGCAAAAGAAAATGCTGCTAATGTGGCCTGATACTGGGTGAATGTTATCTACCCTTAATCCTATTTATTTTTCATAATTTTATATGTAATATATTTTACGATATATTTTATACTTATTTAATCTGCTCGCTGTCAGCATTCCAGGAAAACAAACTCCAACACCAAACCTCTGAGACAGGCATTTTCTCAAAGTTCCATTTTATTAGAGTTGTTATACTGGCACATCTGGGAAAACCTGAATCTAGGAGTTCTGAGTTTTCCTCCAATAATTAAAAATCACAAAATCCATTCCCTGCACCCATCACTCCATCACATGGCCCAATCACCCTCCATTTCTTCTTGAGACATCTCTTAAACCACTCCTCATCCAGGTGCAGGAATAACATGACCTTGACTGTAAAGAAGAATGGTATTATATTTAACTACACCCACTCTACAAAATCCCCCTTCCCAATTTCCCAGGCACAGGAATGTGGCAGTGTAGAAACTTCTAGTGCTAATACGACTTCCAAAGCTGACACTCAATGTTGAACATTATATGTCTATAATTTGAAGATGCTTGTGACACAAATAAAGAAAATATTTCAAACTCAAGCCTTTGGGCTTTCTTTAGAGATGAATGTTCTATCACAGATTGAAAAACTAGAGTACATAAGCATCTCATCAACAAACGATAAAAAAACATGTAAATCTCATTAATCAAAACCAGAAGAACAACCAGTGATAGAACATCTAAGTGCTTTGAGGTTTATCTTTATGTTCTTCTCTAATTGTAACAGCTCATGCCCCACAAATTTTTACTACTTGCTCTGCCCTCAAAACCTGCCTGCATCTCAGCCTAAAACTATCATATCAGTTTTGATGTAGCATTTTTTCTTCTTCTTTTCCTACTCCTAATTAATATGGGCATGCTCCCCCCTCACTGATCACTGGTGGTCACTTGCCTTTCACTGTCATTTTGGCTTGGGCTGACTTCTGCAGAAGCAAGATTGTTGTTATTAGGCCATTTTTATTGAAGCTGAGTTAGGTTCTCTAAGGACGCCTTAGACGTTGTGCTAAAGTCTACATACAAAAAATAATAAAAATAATTCATTTTAAGTCTCCTACAAATGCCCCATTTCCAATCTTTCCTGCTGTACCCCAATTTTCTCTTATTCCTTCTCTCAAAATTCTCTAGTTTAAACTCAAAGTCAGCAGTCTTGTTTCAAACT